GTGTGCGTATTCGAAATTTATTTCGGTATAGCATTTTAGCTTTTATTTACTCTATTGCTTAAATGCAACTTTTATTTAATCTTTTAAATACCCATCTTTAAATACTTCTGTTACAATTACATATTTCTTCATGCTATATTACTAAAAAAACGATTTAATAATTCAATTTTAGTTATTCATCCATAATTCCTTCTATTTTGACTTTTTTGTATGACATGCATAAAGACATATTAGAATGTTTTTATTCCCATATGTTTCAACGATTCGTCGACATCATCATCGGCTTTTTATTTAACAAGATAAAAGTCTACGTTATCGAATCGGAAAAAGATTAATATTGTATTGGCACTGATCTAGCATGACGGTTTCGGTCAAATATGTATTATGGCAATTATTCTGTGGCATTTTCTTCTTTTCTAGCTCACTTGGGGTACTTTTTACCATTATCTCGCTTTGCAGTCAACGTTTATCTTTAGCAAATGAAATGTTAGTTGCTATCTTCTTTTCTTTTGAATCCTGTTCTTTTATTAACTTCTCTACTAAACATTTGTTTTCGTGGTTTTATTGCCTTCTTTGGAGTGAAACGATTAAAGTTAATATTAAGTTTCTGAACGCTTAATTTTTCATATGGAATACATTTCAACTACAATTTTCCTTCGTGATTTGCTGCATAACTTTTAAGTATTAACTTCGTAAGAAAAGTAAATATATTGAAAACAAACGGTCGTATATTGATCGCAGAGGCATTAAACATGGCGCATTCAATAGAAATTCGTTTGAATAAATTATATTCACGTTAATTTCAAACTGCTTTTTTCCAAATCGAAGTTTTAATCAAAAAGGTTCGGGTGGCATTTGAATTTTATTTAATGTGTTGTCTAAAAGATGTGAAGTGATAAATAGTTGAAGCCTAAAGTCTTTAAAAACTGAGTTCACCGGAAAAATACTTTGTCCTGTTAATGTCTATTCTGATGAGAAAAATGATTTTTTTTGGGGGGGGTCCGGCTGAACAGCAAGACATGTGAAATAATAATAATATATTTACCGTTTCGCCTTATTTATCATACAACTTCACACAAACACACACACACACACACACATACATACACACACACACACACACACACATATATATATATATATATATATATATATATATATATGAATGTTTGTGCGTGTATGTGTAGTTAGGCTGGTAAGACCGCACAATTATTGAGAATTAATTCTAATTTAGCTATGCGGACATACTTCAGACCGGTAACGATGTCCGTTGTTATGTACCTTTGAATATAGAATATGTTAGCGTATTTAAATATTTAAATATTTAAAGAAAATATACAAATAATGTATAATATATATATATATATATATATATTATGGGTTAAAGTACTTAATGTCACTTTAACCCATAAATATAGCATACCTTAAAAGTATTTTTTATCATATATGTGTGTGTCTGTGCGCGCGCATGTTTGTTTGTGTGTGATTATGAGGAGTGAAAAACGAATATCCATATATCCTATACTTACTTTATTGATTTAAACTCCAAACAAGGGGGGGTTATTAAGCTGGATATCACACGTGGATTTATAAAAGTGTGTAATACCTAGATTGATATGAATCGACAACAATTTTTATAATGCAAAATATAAATGTTAGTGGCAATAGTAAACTTGTGGCACTATTTTGACACTGACATTACTGAATTAGCGTTCAAGTGAAAAAACCCGTATAAAACTGGAGAATTGGAAGAGCTGAAAACATTAAAAAGAAATAGTTAAGGTGATAACATTAATTGAAATATGAATCAGAAGAGAAAAAAAACTCATTTCAGATAAATAGAAACGCAGAATGGAATATTAATTCCATGGTGAATTGGAATGTTGAAAGTATAAACTGAAGGAAGCAAATAAGAATTCTTAGAATACGAAAGCCGCAATGTAAAACAGGCTGAAAAATTCTTGCCGTTTGTCATAAGTTTGATTATCAGGAAAGATGATTGCTTTTGAATAGTTAACGGTTTTAGTACAGTGTCTCGTAAGAGTTTAATGGGAAGGGTGAATGTTGTATCAAAGCCAACTGAAATTTAACCCAACGGCCTTCTTCGTTAAATTTTATATTTGTATTTTCAATGGCAGAAGCATTTTAAATATGAATGTGTTCTTGAGGGCCATCTTTCTTCAAAACATATCTACTGGTGATAGGGAAACACAAATAACTATTTTTAGCAGATGAGAAAAAGTACATCACTTTAAGACTTTTTCATTTTTCATAGTATGGTTTCGTCAACTCGATAGAGCTTAAGTACAGATAAAAGTTCGATCTTTACGACATCCCGATCAAAGAACACGATATAAGCAGAGCAGACGAAAGAACGAAACGGTTAACAGATAATCATCAGTTGACTGGCACCAGTACTGACCAGCGTGGGAAAGACCCCGGATGGAGCCGGGTCGTCCCTGTTATAATATTAGTCGTTAGGAAAAATTCAACATTCATTGACAAACAATCGGTGCTGAAATTTATTAAACGCTTCAATGAAATATTTGTTCAGGAAAATAGATTGATATCTTCCTACCGTACCTTCCAGTACTAATGTGTGTGGGGGGAGTG